TGCATTGATTTTGGTTCTTATCATTCTCCCCTGAACCTAGTTGTTAAGAAAACTTCAGTCGTGTTAACTTTAACCTAAAAGAAACCTGTCCACTAGTTTATATTGAAAATAAAACATTATCTAAAAGGACTTAGGATTAACAATTAATAAAAATCTGACATTTAAGGTGCCTCTTAGTCTAACTTTTAAGGTATTATAGTACAGTAAAGTAAGGGGAAAAAACAGCCTTCATCCCAACATTAAAAAAATAAAGATGAAACTTGTCAGAAATTGTTTTTTTAAACTCCCAATAATAGCTGGTAAAAAGGCCCAAAGAATTCTGCATCGGGTTTTGATGGGAACAGAGGAGGAAGGAAAAATGATTTTATTTTTTTTAGTTTTTTAAGCATATCTTAAAAACTATGAGGTTTTTTACAAAGATTGCTCAGTATAATATTAAAGTACTCTAAAATCTCTATAAAAGTGATGCTATATATTTTTTTGATAAAATCAATGGCTACGGAGATATTTATAAAATTGATGTTTTCAAAGTAGATGATACCTTTTTTAAGCTTAAATAATTTTTTAACATATTTTTGATCCTTCAAATTATTATTCAAAGTTTCTTTCTTTTAATGTTTCTAAAATGACATTGACAACAGAATTATATTCGATATCAATCAATGGGGAAATTCGTGATAATGATATGAAGTTTAGATTGACATTAATTTCATATAATTGAAAATATGTGATAGAAGACATTAAAAATTTACCATAAACCATAGTCTGATTTCATACAGAGAACCAGAAAACATAAATTTTGTCATTTTAAAGCCAACCATGTTTTATGTTGAATAAAAAGCAATAACTAAAAAAATGTTAAATTTAGGTTACAATAAATTACTTTACAGAAAAAGAAAATTCCAAACATCTAACTGTTAATTGAAAGCACTTCTCAGATGAAAGTAATCTAAATTGAGCAACTTCCTCTCATATTTTCTGAGATATATTATCTTATATGGCATGGAGATAGATAGATTTTTAATGTCAATCTTTACATATCACAATTAATTTCTTTTGTTTTCTAAGTATGTATTTTCTGCTTGTCTTAGCAGGGTTGCTTGGTAAAAACTAAGATAGAATTTATTTTACCAATATGAGAGGTGAAATACAAGGATTCTAGTTCCTATATTTTAAATTAATCTAAAAATTAAAGTCTTAAACCTGATTGGTTTGGGTTTAAATCCCCCAGATATTTTGTTAAAGAAGCAGTTCATAAATAAAAAACACATATAAGGTTCTCCAAATTAAAACAACTATAAATGAAAAATTGAATAAAAGCAGAAAAAGTGTGCTTTCCTGATAAAACAATTTTATCTACTTTCTCAACAAGTAATAATGATAATACTGGAGAAGAAATGAGTTTGACACATTGACAAATAGCTATTATGATTGTTAAAATAGTTATCATGGAAGAATATTTTTTCACATAAAAAGGTAACCCATAATTTGAAGATGGGTAGATAAATTTTATAGATATCTATTTTATTAAAAAAACTATTCCTTTTTTTTTTTTAAATATTTCTTATTTAATATACATTTTGTGCTTAGCATCTTTCTTCTAATATACAAATAACAAATGTAATAACATATTGATAAAACTAAATATTTCAAGAGTAACATAAAATATAATAAAATTTGGCAACAAAATGTTTTGAACATTTATCAAGTCTTATTAGTTACCATTAAACTACTAGTCTATTTATCATGGCTAAAACAATTGTTTTAATAATCAAGATTTATTTTTGTGCCTACACAACTCAAAACATTTTTTGAAAATGATATTTCATCTAATTTTTCATTCAATACACTATAACAGCCATTATTATTTGAGTCACATTTAGGGTAACATCAAATTGATGCCTGTTTTACTAATTGGATCAAACAGTTTCCTTCCCATTTCACCATTCCTCATTAAAATTGTATATAATACTAATAATAATACTCATATCTACAATTTACCACTCGTAAATATCATAAAGAAAAATACATATGCCATGTCAAAGAAAACTAAACAATGCAAAGATACTTGAATGGTGGTATTACATCAAATCGACACAGTTCAACTCCTGTATAATCTCAATACATCAAATTTGTTTCATGAAGCTTGCATTTACATTAGGAAAAGCTTAGTTTATAGTATATAAAATTTCTAAATAAAAAAAAAAAATTTGTGAGACTAGATGCATTCAAAAACATTTATACTTCTATAAAACAATGAAATAAAAAATAATGAACAGAATAAAAAGTAATGAATCATTACTAATTGTGTATAACAGCTTGAGATTTAAATCAAACATTTTTGAAGAAGTTTTTTCCTTTCAGAATCAAATTAAACATTATTTCAGCACTATATGAAAATAATTTAATTAAAAATACATTTTAAATTATGGTGCTAAAGAGATTTTTTATATAAGTTGTGCCACAATCAAAGAAAATTGATGAAAAGATAAAAAAATATTTTTTGTTAAAACGAAAAAAAAACATTTCCGTTAAGTTCTAATTTAAACTAATCTTCAAATTTTATATGATATCGAAGTTCAATTATAACTGTTCCTTATCCATCATTAGAACATTAGCACAAATCAATTCAAGGTAGTTTCAAAAATAAAAATAAATCCAAAGTATTTTAAATAATATGTGTATAAATTAAAACAGCAAACTTTCTTGTAACTTGTAAATTTATAAAGAATATGATTTATTTTGCAATTCAAAGTTATTTGCAACAACAAACTATTTATTTACTACATAATCAGTTACAAGAAAATTATTTTTTCTTTCATTTTATTGATTTAAAAAATGTGAATATCCTTGAGCAAGTTTCAATAAATCTAGTGATGCTGTAGCTGCAATGTTCAAAAAACTTAATTGCACTTTGAAGGCATTTATTCAAGATATGAATTTAATGTAGAAGGTAGTTGTTTGATGAACATTGCTCGTACCAACCAGTTAGTAATATTTAAGCTCTCAATTTAAGTATTAGCTTACTTATCTAGGCATTTAGATAGAAAAGTAAGAAATATGAATATGAAATATTTATGGTTATTCAACATTGACTAGATTTATAGTAGTAAATTATGTATGCTTTTATTTGAAAAAACAAAACAGTATTTACAGTCTTGTGAGAATATGATGTTTGAGTTTTGGTGGCAGGATATCTGTTGGTTCAGGTACCAGCTTAACTGTTTTTGATTTTCCACTCACAAACTAAAACAAACATAAAAACAAAATACATTACAAAAAAATGTATATGACAATTTTTTAAACTGGATGATTTCTTTGAATGTAAATGATGTATTATTATAAAGAAAATTGCAAAATTTTGATTCAGACCATTTCAAATAATCTTTAATAGATTAATTGAAACTGAAAACTCTCTTAACTACTGAGCAAAGCTTGACATACTTAAAAACTTAACATTAACATATGTCATTGGCAGATATTAGTGATAACTAGATTCAGTATTATATGTAATTGTAACTAATATTTTATATAACAGCCAATTTTCTGATATTAATTCTCTGTAATTTATTTATTTTATTATTTCTTACATTGATAAATTCTCTAAGATTCTGATGGAAGAACTAGAACAAAACAAGCTACAAGTAAAATAGAATAAAATAAAACAATGATGGTTTGCCTAAAATTTAACCAAAACAGCAGGATCTGTGTAGATGCGAAACCTCGGCTTCACAATAACATCAATAAATGACCAAGTGTTCTTAACAAGATACATACAATTATGTTTTGACAAATATTTTGAAACATTATTTTTCTAATATTTATGCCCTATAAATAAAAACTAAAAAAAGAAAGTTAAAATTTATTTAATATTTAGGTAATATTTTCCAAAAATAATTTTTAAACACTGAAATTACTAACAATTAAAATACTGTTAAGCAATTGAGATATAACTACATTATGTATAAGGAAACTAGGGAGTGAATTGTACTCACAATTGTTTTTAATAATGAATCACTTCATTGAACACTAAATAACTTGTAATTTACAAGTTATACATGACAACAACTATTAGTTTTAACAATACTAATGAAGTATGAGAGAAACGATGGGACATTGAGTAGCAGTAAACATTTTTTTGGTAACAACTTTAATTATATATTAATAAATAACAATGCTAGGATAAATCCAGTTACCATTTTTGCAAATTCTGACAACAATACCGTTATGATTGAAAAAATTACATGATTTCAAAGTTTCAGTCTGTCAATTGGTATTCACACAGTGAGAGATAAGAAATAATACTCAGTTGTTTTGACAGAAATTAAATATGTTTAGGTTAATTTCTGAATTGAATATTGAGAAATTTGGTGTTATGAAAATTCCTTATAATTTTTAGTTTATTAGTGTGTTGATTGATACAATTTGCACAATTATAGTATTTGAGATCACATAATTTATAATTCTGTCTCATTTAAAGTTATTAAGTAAACTTCTTATATGACTTATCAATATTTAATGCCTCAATATCAGTTTACTTATAAATATTTATAGCTCCAGTTGTGATTTTAAATAAGACAAAATCTCTATTACACAATTCTGTAATCAAATGAGCATCTAAAGAAAAGTTCAATACTATTATTTTATTATTAATATAAAATACATTTTTCTAGATGAAAAAGAATGTCTAGACATTACACCATGTTAATATATATTGAATTAAACATGTGAAATCTTTTAAATATTACATATTGGATTTTTAAAAGATTTGTTACTCATCATAAATATATAATTTTGAGTATGTCCATCACACATAAATTTATGATACAACTTACTAATGCTGTCCTAAGTGGTCAATACAATCATTGATTTTCTGTGTCTTTAAGTGAAAAGGGCAGACCAGATTGAGGGGAGAGTGGCTGTAGTTACTCTTGTGCATATTTACCTTCTTGTTTGGTATTTTTCTTATAGCTGGCTCTTGAACTCATTTACATCATGTTCTACTGAACGTAGTGGACAGGATTTCTTCTGCTTACATTCCTGTTAGGAATGGAAACACATAAAAATTTTTCTTATATGACGGTAATCATTTTTTGAATCAGATATCTGACATTCTGAGGAATTGGTGCAGCACAAACTGGCTGAGCATCAACCCTAAGAAAATCAGCGTGTGAATCTTCACTAGGAAGAAAAAGGTATTTATAAAAATGCCAGAAATTAATGGTATCCAACTGACACATAGCAAGGAAGTAAAACACCTTGGAGTCATACTGGACCATAAATTTTCATGGACCAAACACGTTCAGTACGTGACAAGTAAAGCCATCAAATGCCTATGGGCCTGTAAAAGAGCAATAGGAAAAAATTTAGGATTCAAAACTGAAATGGTATACTGGCTATATATAACAACAGTTACACCCATTACATTATACTCAGCTTAGCTTTGATAGCACAAAAAAATACTGTACATAACTCAACCTTATTAGGAAAAATTCAAAGACTAACCTGTATGATAATGGGAGCAATGGGCTCCACACCGACTGTTGCTATGGAGATAATGTTGAACATGCCACCATTGCAGTTAGAGGTGGAGGCTCTGGCAACAAATACATTATACAGGCTGAGTAAGCTAAAGAGCTGTTCCTATATCCCTTGTCAAGGGGGGGGGGCATACAAAACTGGTGAATAGGATTGGATGTGAAGAAGTGCTACTAGCTATGCACTCCAATACACTAATCTGTGAGTATCTGGACTGCTAATAGGAGATCGAGATAGAGAGCAGCAGAAAACACAAACCAAAAAGTGGTATAAATTGTTATACAGATGGCTCTCTAACAGTCTACGACTCAGGAGTAGGCATCTATCAAAAAGATAACAAAGAAAAAGACTCAATACCTCTCTTGGCAAATGCGCTTCGGTATTTCGGTATAGCAATTTGTCATTGTGCTCAAAACCTACTGAGAAGCAAAGTGAATGGGAAAAAGATAATAATCTATACTGACAGGCAGGCAGCAATAGGTGCTCTAAATAATTATTATGCATATTAAAAAGTTGTTAAATAATGCAGCATAGCACTTAATCATCTGACTGAGCTTAATAGAGTTGCAATAGAGTGAATGCCTGGTCACTCGGGCATTCTAGGCAACAAAGAGGCAGACAAACTAGCCCGGTTAGACTCAGATACTATTCCCATAACTCCTGAACCTGTCTGGAATCAGTCTTAGTGCTGCCAAAAGTAGGATTATGGAGATATATGGTAACAAATTTAAACAACACTGGACTGAGAAGAAACGACATTCGAAGCTGTTCTTTAAAGGTCCATGTGATAAAAGAAGTGAACTGCTACTGAGTTTGGACAGAGCAGCTCTTAAAAAGCTTACAGCGATCTACACTGACCACTATAAGTTAAATTACCACATGTTCAATCTTTGAGTGACAATGAACTCACTACGCAGATTCTGTTAGGAGGAGAATGAAACAGCCTTTCACATCGTTTGTCGATGTAATAGATTTGCAAGGCTTATTGCAAGGAGCTATTTGAGGAAGAACGAACAGATGGATCGCCCCAGCAGCTATGAGACTCAATCTAACAAGCCTATTCAAATACGCGGAAGCGACTAAACTAACGTTTTAAGAATAAAACGAACAGCATAACAGCGCACAATAGATCCATCAAGGGTCACGGTACGTGAAGCCAAAAGGAAAAAAAAAAAATTTTTCTTCAACTATAGACGTCTTAAAAGGTGCGATTGAAATTAAATCTCTACATTCTTAGGAGAGGATTATCTACTGGAAAGGGTCTGGGAATCCCTTCTCCAAAAATGAAATGAAGAAAATGTTAAAAATTAGGAGGTTTTCAATGTGCACTTTGAGAAGAAAGAACTTATGAAAATTATTTTTTATAATATTTAAATAACAATTATTTTAAACTTGAAAGAAATTTTAATCCAATACCTGATGGTCTTTATATATATTAGGCCCCCAGGACTCCAATGACATGTGCCATAATCAGCCAAAAAAAAGTTCTCTTAATGGGATGAGTATTTTATGCTCAGCATGTATGGTACTGGTAAAATTACCACCCCATTACATACATTATATTTTATATTCTTACATAAGTTATATTCCCCAAATTTATAAAAAAAAAAAAAAAGAGGAGAATTTCTTAGTATGCGAAACCTTTGGTTATACTACAGTTACAAAAAGGATGGGCATTCTTGTATTAGACTTATCTGATTGTATGAATATAGCTTTCATAGATCCTCATTTATTTGACACTACTTTATATGTACTGCTGGACTCTCCAATGGACCACTAGTTGGGAAACACTGACTTAAATCATCACTCTTCTCAATCTGAAGAGAACATTAACTTACTTCTCAACAAAGAACATTACCTCGTTTTTCACTCTTCAGGCCACACATCCACTAGATGTGTAAAAAATCCAATGGTGACACAATAGTTTGATCTCTGTTCTACTTTAATACATGTATGATGATAACATTTGCTGCAATAATTCATTGTGTAACATGTCGCACATTCATGCATTCAGTGGATGAACTATTAAAGTATCTCTTTAGTAACTTAATTTTAAGAAATTTAGATATTGTTATAAGGTAAAAAAATAATGTATTCAGAAAAATTAGCATCAACTTGATAAATAATGTAATGACTATATTCATAAAGAAAGTTAATATGTACATTGAACATATCTTTTCATATCAATATACTAAGGTGAATGAAATATAAGCAGTTATTCCTTTTATTCATTCACCCTCAAAGGGCTACTTCTCGGGGAAGGAAAAACTCCGACTGAAATTTTGCATGGATCAAAACTGTTTTCAGAAATCTGCCAAAAAATTAAAAATCTCAATTTTGAACAAAAAAATAATAGCATCCGTGTTTTGAGTCCAAAAGGGATAATTTTTTTTTCCCTCTAGGAGAGACAATTACTGCAGCACGATACTATAGGGTCTCATAGTATCGTCCTGCAGTAATTGTCTAAAAAGCTAAAGAGAGCAATTCAAATCAAACAGAGGGGATGCTGATGAAGAGAATGTGTTTATTACACGACAACACCTGCCCGCACACGGCCACCAGTACCAAGGCCATTTTGAACTTTTTTAGTTGGGACATGTTGAACCGTCCTGCATATTCCCCTGACTTGGTACCTCTACAGGGTCAATATATAGTCACTATAGCAATTTGTTGGGGGGAGGGAGAGACTTGTCACCCACCACGGCAGCAATGTTGGGCTCAAGCTCCCTCATCTCCTACTAGTTGGCACCTAAGGATACTTTGCATGTGATGTATAAAAAAAATTATAGGGATTTGAATAATAAAGGCAAATTTAATTTATTTATAGTTTAAAATTATTATTTTTTTAAACTATGAAACATAAGGAAAAATTATAAAGATAAGCTTAGAGAAACATTAAATTTATTTATGGAAGAGTGTAAACTTCTTGAAATTTCAGGTTCATTGTTTAGTAATGATGCCCAACCTATTAATAAAAATAACAAGACAAAATTTGACCTATGTTACTAAAAGATCTATAAATTAGAATCTTCTTTCATTATAGGATAATCCCACCTTGTTACTCCCTAAAAGTACTCTATATTTATTCAAGATCCAACAATATTTTCAATAGGTGCTTTATGTTCAACAATAAAAGAATAAGACACATGTATTGAGAACATACTTATCAGCTTCAGTGTCCCTTATTTCACTAGAAATGTATGAATCATCATTTTAAATAAATTTTCCTTGATTTATTAGAATCATATGTCATCTGACATATGTGAATCATCCTGAGAAAAATGCATGTATCTTTTTTTTTTTACCAGTTTCTGTAAGCAGCTCTTTAATGTTTTTTCTTCTCCATGTGGCAGTATTCTGATCTCAGATAACTCCAGTTATCGTGCAGAGGATTTTTCTCTCAAATCTTTAAATACTTCTTTCTAGGGTGCTGGTTAGGGTCCAGGCCTTGCAGCCATATTTCAGAACTGGCATTATTATTATTGTAGCATTGTAACCTAATAAGAGATTTATTGAGATTTTTTAGGATTTCTATGCCTTTGAAAGATAGAAGAAAGTTCTGTTTGCGCCTGTTATACACCGGTCTAACAGGCGGTAACAGAAGGAACAATTTCCTTCTACACAAATCCTGTTATTGGAGTGGGATTTTTTGCTTATTATCATATATTTTGTTTTATCATCATTAACTTGTAAGTCAATTTGTTCTGCTGCTCTTATCAGAGTCTTAGCGAGTTTCTCAATGTCCTCTTGATTTCTTTCAAGGATTGCTACACAATCTACAAATACAAGGATTTTATGATTCATTCCGACGTGCACCCCTCCATTGCAATGTTGTTCTTATCATCTTCTTCATCAATAAGTTGAACAACATCAATGATAGTCTATTTCTCTGCCATAAGCCCATTTCAAATTAGAAGACTTCAGAGAGTTCTCCTTGTTTTAAAACTCGACATTTAGGGTCATTTGTACCCACCTGCCTTTGTCAATCTCATCAACTTACCGGGAACTCCCAGTCATGATATTCCAAAGACAGTTCAACGTCCTCAGCCACTTCCAGTGTGGCTACCAGATCGTTAAAAGTACAATTCCCTGACTTTTTCCTACTTAATGATAGTTTCCCTGAACAATATGTCTGGAGACACAAATATTAAAAATGCATAATTTATAAATAAGTTTATTTATTATATATGAAAGACATTTATAATAAATAATGACGAAAATGGTTGTTCTGAATATTCCGCTATTAGGGTTAAGGCGGATTTTACTCTAAAAGACTAACAAATATTTATCAATTCACGATCCATTTGATGAACCTCAGACTAATATTTTGTGAGGGTGGATACAAAAGATTCTGCTCCAGACACAATAACGTTTTAAAAAAAAAATAGTTGTGAAACTGCCGGTGTTCTCTTTTAGTTAACCAACAAATGGAATCCAAAGGTTTAGCCGACAGTTCATGAGAATTATCATTGTTGTAAAAAGAATCGTGAAAAAAGTTTTTTGTAAAATTTAAATAGGAAAGAAAATCACATAAACGCTATTATAATATTTATGAATATTATTGTATGAAAATTAGAGGGGGAAAAAGAAGAAATTCAGTTATACCATAGAGAAGCTTTAATCTTTTCTATGCAGGTTCCAACTAAGTAAAATATTTCCATATCACTCAATGGTTTCTCATCTGTTGGTCCAGGCGTGCTTGATTGCCGATAAATGGTCCCTTTTTCTGGAGGAGGAGATTCTGGCTCATTGTCCACAATCTCAAATTCCTTTCGCCTTTCATGTTTAGCTAATGCTTCCCTTCGCAAGTTTTTCAAATAATTAGGGACACCTAGAGAATAATGAAATGCAAAAGTAAACTTATTTGTTCTAAAAATATAGATAAGTAATTATTTCAAGAAATTCTGAGAAACCTATCTTAGCCCAGTCAAATTAGCATAAAAAAAGTGGTCTAGCTTGCAAAAGATCGGGTAATTCAAATTTCTTTTTTATATCGTTAGGTATGCAGTGACTATAAAAAATCCAAGTTTTCGACCTTGAAAGCCTTCGCTGCAGTGCTCCAAAAACCATTAAAATTTCGAACTTTTATTGGTGTACTCTAAATATCTCTTTTTTAAAGCGATATAAATAAAAAATCTTGAACAGCTTAAAATTATCTAACATTTTTTTCTAAACCCAAGAGGAAGCAAACTACTGCGCTTTCAAAATGGGTAAAGTTTAAAAAAAAAATTGACAATTCAATTATTGTATCAATATTTGTTCGTTAATGCAATCAAATATTAATACAATCATCATACAAAAGCTGCTTTATTTACAACTTTAGTTTGAACAACTTGATTTTACTGGTGTTTTTTATTAGAAAGACCAATTATGTTTTAATAATTTTTCATTATTTTTTAACTACCCAGCTTTAATAAAAAGCTAATTATGACGAAATTAAGCCAAATGCTGAATCTCAATAATTTATTATTGGCACAACAGACGCATGTAGCAGTCCTTGGCCTGCTCAATTTCCTTTGCCCAGTCATCCCTCTTGGCTGCGCACCTCATGGATATGCCATTTTTTCTCAAGTCTTCTTTTACATTATCTACCCATCTTGCCTTTGGTCTTCCCCTAGACCTAACTCCCTCTGGCTTCCCATAAGCCTTCTCGCTGTCCTTCCTTCATCCATTCTCAGGACGTGTCTTAACCATTTCATTCCCTGCACTCGAGTGAATTGGGAGATTGACAGATCACGTTGAGTATACCTCCTTGTTTGCTCTCAAGCGGGGAACTCCTTTCTCCAGTTATGGTCCTGTTATCCATCTAAATGTTTTTCTTTCAAAGCGATCTATTCATTCAGCAGATGCCTTTGTTAGAGTCCATGTCTGGCACGTATATGTTGCAATTGGCCAAATAATCGTTTTGTATATCTTAAACTTCGTTATATGACTTAACAATCTACTTTTCAGAAGGCTTACTATAGAAAATTAGGCTCTGTTGGCAGCCATTATTCTAGCTCCTATCTCTCCTTCTTCGTTATTGCTATTGTTAATTATGGACTCGAGTTAGGTGAAGCTTGATACAGCTGGAAAAATATGGTTTCTCAAGATATAGTGTTGTGGTGGATGAACGAACTTTTTCTTCCTTAAAACAAGGATCTTGGTTTTACTTTTGTTGATGCATAGCCCTATTTTCCCAGTCTCATTCTCCAACCTACTGAATGAAATCGTCAATGCTTTAAGTGATCACCCTACAATGACCACATTGTCAGCATACACGAGCAGTTGGGTCATTCTGTGGAATATTGTTCCTCTGTTATTTAATCTTGTCCTTCTTATGATGGTCTCTATGGCAATATTAAAGAGAAGTGGCGCTAATGAATCAACTTGCCTGAGGCCTGAACAAACTGCAAAGGAGTCGCCAATTCTTCCTTTTACCTTAACTCTACTGACGGTGCCTTCCATGGTAGCCATTATTAAATGAATCAGCTTTGCTGGTATGCCCAATTCATACATTACATAACAAAGAAATGCTGAATCTCAGCGAACGAAAAATTAACTCAAGCCAAAGATGTCAATCTGCCATGTTTGAACACCATTTTGGGTCAGTGTGGCCACTTTTTTATAGGAACATTGCTTTTATTAATAAATAGTTACAATGAACACAACTAGATGCAACTTATACCTCCTAAATACCGTCTACCTTTCCAGTCAGTGGCTTATTATCTTCATGAAAAACCTCCGAATTCCCTATACCAGATTCAAAATGGAGTTACAGAATTCTTTTGTTCAAAACTGAAAGAGCACTACTGTGAAGAAATCGAAATGGGTAAATTTTGAAAACTTGATAGTTTGCTTCCTGTTGGGTTAGAAAAAAATGTTAGGTAATTTTAAGTTGTTTAAGATTGAATATAAGCATTTTTTATCTATGTTGCTCTAAAAATGAGATATTTAGCATAAACAAAAAAAAGTTTGAAATTTCAATGGTTTATGGAGCACTGCAGAAAACCCACAAGGCTTTCAAGGGCGGAAAAATTTAGGTTTTTTATACTCACTGCATACCTACCAATATAAAAAAGAAATTTGAATTCCCTGACCTTTTTCAAGGCAACATGTCTAATTTGACTGGGCTATCATGTTAAAAGTATATGTTAAGTGAGACATCTAATGTTTTTCTAACCTTGAACTGTAATCCATAACGAAAGAGAAGAAGGTAAAGAAACTCCAGGATTATCAAAGTAAGTCAAACTGAACTCGATACCAGGCTGAAAAAAAAATTAATTAATAGAACAAAAAGAAAAAAAAAAATGAAAGTGAGACTTTTTAATATTAAATTTTTTATATGATGGCATTGAGTTCTACCAATGGGTAGTTTCTCTTCATGTTGTACATGCCATGTTACAAATTTCTCATTTACTTATTGTATTCTCTATGTAATACAGTTGTAAATTCCATTGAAATAATAAAAAAAAAAAAAAAAATATATATGATGGCTGAGTTCTGATGGCTTGGTATAGAAAGGTAGCAAGGAAGCACAGATGGCATTTGGATGGATAGAGCCACTTCAACTTGGTCTAATACTGGGTTATATAGCATTTCCAAGTCAATTTCAACCTTTTCCAAGTCAAATTCAACCTTTTCCAAATCAAATTAAACTTTTTCCAAGTCAAATTCAACCTTTTCCATTTCAAATTAAACCTTTTCCATTTCAATTTCAACCTTTTTTTATTTATTTACTTATCTTTAATTTTGGATGGGTTGTCTGTTATCGTATGAGTAGTTTTTGAAAATAACCTCCTTTTTAAGATTACGTGACTGCGTTTCGAATTATTTAAGTGTGAAGACCATAAGGGTGTATTTTTGTTTCCCGATCAGTAAATTTTGAAAATGATATCCATTTTATGTTTACGCTACTGTGTTTTGATTTATTTAAGTTTTTAGAATTTATCCAATATAAAGATCTACTTTTATGTTTCCGGAGCCATAGATTTTGAAAACGACCTCCATTTTAAGATTAGGCCACCGCATTTCGACTTATTTATTTGAGTTTTTCGGATATTTTTCATATGAGGGTGTATTTTTATGTTTCCGGAGCTGCATATTTTGAAAATGACCTCCATTTTAAGATTACGCCACTGCGTTTCGACTTATTTAAGTTTTTTTGATTTATTCGACGTAAGGGTGTATTTTTATATTTCCGGAGCTGTAAATTTTGAAAATGAGCCCCATTTTATGATTACGCTGCTGCGTTTTGACTTATTTAAGTTTTGAGAATTTATCCAATATTAAGGTCTACTTTTATGTTTTCGGAACCGTAGATTCTGAAAATGACCTCTATTTTATGATTACGCTACTGCGTTTTAACTTATTTAAGTTTTTAGAATTTAACAAGTATAAAGGTATAATTTTATGTTTCTGGAGCAGTAGATTTCCCACATTTTGTAAATGACCCAATTTCAAGTTTATGCCACTGTGTTTTCGATTATAAAAGTTTTTTTTTTACTTTTTCGGTATAAGGATCTACTTATATGTTATCCGAGACGTATTGAAATTTTTCTAATCTTTAATATTTAAATTTATCTAATATTTAAGCTCTATTTTATGATTAAGCCGCTGCATCTCGATTAATTAGGCTTCATTTTGGATTTTTTCAAAATAAAGTTTCATCAATATGTTTTCGAGTATGAATAAATAAATAAATAAATAAATATTATGAAGCTAAAGTTAAATTAACCACAGAATACAAACTAAAAAGCCGAAAAGCAAATGGTAATAAATTTAACCTTCCGTATTCAGATTTTTCAGCTAATTGTTCGAAATCTTATAATTTTGTGACAGGAGACCACAACATTAAAAAAGATAACTAAAATTAAATTAAAAATTAAAATTAAATTAAATTAACTAAAATTAAATTAAAAATGAGAAAATACATATTTTATTTATTTTGATTAGATATTTTTATTTATTTATTGAAAAATAAATTAATCCTTCGTATTTTGTTTTTTATTCGAAGGAAAAATCAAAAACACTTAAAAAAACCTAAAGTCACAGTGGCCTAATCTTAAAATGTAAGTCGTTTTAAAAACTAAGGCTCCGGCATCATAAAAGTAGATCTTTAAATTGGATAAATTTGAAAAACTTGAATAAGCCGAAACACAGTGGCGTAATCTTAAAATGGAGGTCATTTTCAAAATCTACGACTCCGGAAACATAAGAATACACTCTTTTATGATAAAAATTCGAAACAGTTAAAGAAATCGAAATACGGTGGCCTAATCTTAAAATGGAGGTCGTTTTAAAAATCTACGGCTCCGGAAACGTAAGAATACATCCTCATATGAAAAAAATCCGAAAAACTCAAAGAAATCAAAACACGGTGGCCTAATCTTAAAATGGAGGTCGTTTTCAAAATCTACGGCTCCGGAAACATATAAGTAGACCATTATATTGGATAAATTCTAAAAACTTAAATAAGTAAAAACACAGTGGCGTAAACATAAAATGGATGTCATTTTCAAAATTTACTGATCGGGAAACATAAAAATACACCCTTATATCGAATAAGTCAAAAAAACTTAAATGATTCGAAACGCAGTCACGCAATCTTAAAATGGAGGTTATTTTCAAAACTAGGTACAGGACAGCATAATACTAGTCCCCAATAAATCCGAATAGGTACAATAAATCGATATCCGTAAGTGAAAATTTTACTTAGGAGAGCATAATAATAGACTTTCATATTGGAGGGGGGAAGGGGATGGCCATTATTTTAAAAAAAATATAAAATTTACAAAAAATTAAAACATTAATTTGAAATTAAAACGGTTGAATTTGAATTGGAAAAGGTTTAATTTGAAATGGAAATGGTTGAATTTGACTTGGAAAAAGTTTAATTTGATCTGGAAAAGGTTGAATTTGACTTGGAAAAGATTGAATTTGACTTGGAAATAATTGAATATGACATAGAAATATCACACTGTCAAATTTTAAAATAAATGGATATGCAACCGCGTTATCAATTTTTTTTTTGTATTTTTCAAAAGCCATGCCTTCGATAATATAGTAAGTGGCCTTCATTTCGAAAATTGACAAAAATTCGAAAGTTGAATTTGAAATGGAAAAGGTTTAATTTGACTTGGAAAAGGTTGAATTTGATTTGGAAAAGGTTGAAATTGACTTGGAAATGCTATATATGTATCTCTTGAGATTCCAAAAACAAAATGAATTACGCAATTCATTAGGCATTTAAGTTTGGCCTCGATTTCTCCTGAGAGTCCGCCGTACACCAAACAGCCATAGTCGAAGTGGGGAAACACAAGAGAGGAAATCAGGAATTTTTGGCATTTAAATGGAAGAAAATATTGGAGGCTGTTAAACTGTTTCAGGGTAGAGATAGTACAAAGGGAAATTTGGGAGATGTGTGGTTTCCAGGAGAGGGTTTGATCAAAGGTAACACCAAGGTTTTTACAGAAGTAGGTGAGTTGTTCAGGAAAAGATTGGGGAGTGTCGGTAAGGATTTGAGGAGTGAAGGAGATCTGATCAGGATGGGTTTCATCTTCTTGGCGTTTAGAGTAATCTTATTGTGGTTTGCCCAGGTACAAATTCCTGTTATATCTTCCTGTAATTTTTGGATGGCATCAGAGGGTTCGGTCGGATTGAAGGAAAGATAAATCTGGACGTCGTCGGTATACAGATGGTATTGACAGTGTAGGAGAGAGTCATTGGAAGGTAATCATTGGTACGTGATTTCTGAATGGAGGTGAGGAGGTCATCAGGGGTAATATGGGGGAAAAAAAGTGATCAGGATTAAAATTAAAAAGAGAATACATAGGAGCCTGTATGGTCGTAGATTGAGAAGGATCAGGAGACAAAGTGAGCGTTAAGATTATCAGCAGAAAAGAAAATGAACTGGGTTTGAGGTGTGTTACAAATGGTCAGTTTTTTGAGCATAGCACACTTGGCCTTGGAGTTTGGGGTGTTGGATAAGGAATAATGGAAATAACAGGATTTGGCTCGGCGTATAGCAGACTGAGTGCTGTTTCGAAGTTGCTTGAAGGCGATCTAGTCTTCCGGGATTTGGGTACGTTTAACCCACCATCTTGCAGCATCTCTTCTTCTCATGTACTCTCTCAGAGCAGGTGTCAGCCAAGGAGCAGGGAGATGTCAGATGGTTTTAGTTAGGAGAGGAGCATGGCAGTTGAGGATGGTATGAAGATGGTTGGTGAGAATTTCTACCATGGTGTCAATGGATTTTAAGAAATAAATGGGGTCCCACTGGGTAGCGTCGAGATCCTGCAACAGGGCTTCATACGTGATAGAATTGAGGTTTCGGAAGGATATAAGGTTCGAGGAGAAAAAAATGGGACCTGAATGTTGTAGGAAATCTGGATATGGGTCATTCGCCCAGAAAATGTTCAGATGTGCAGGCATCACTCAACTTTCACTTACCACCCTCTTCTTAGCATAAACAAGTATTTTCAGAGAAAGGGGATGTAAAAGTAAAAATTATAGATTTTTTTTTTTTTACATTTCATTGTGGGTATTTTTTCATTTGGCGCTAGACAAATTTTATTTGCTTAATTACTCTTATAAACAGGGTTAAGAGGCCAAATGGAAAAAATGAACTAAGGACCTCAAAAGAAGAAAAAAATTTCCTCTGAAGGTATGTCTGCAAACGCTTTGTTTAGGAGATATTCATACCTACACATTTTCGTTGTTATGAATTATTTACATTATATGAAATAAATATCTATTTTTAGAAATTATAAATATCAGTTTTTTAGAAAATTGTAAAAATGTGTTAAATCGATGATATGAAATACCATTTCCAGTTGGCTGATTTTGACATTGAAAATGTTGCTGTAACATCCCAGGCTTTTAAAAACCCTAAATACGCAATTTCAATTTCATACAACTTTTCATTTTTGAGCTAGGATGGTTCACATACCTACACACACAGACCATTTTTTGTGACTTGGTTATTTGGACTCAGGGGACCTCAAAATATTTAATTCCATTGAAAACCCAGATTTGGAAATTTTCATGATTGCAATACTTACCCTTACTATATATTACATATATAGAATAGAAAATAATTTTATTCTGGGACAAAGTCCCTTTAGAATAAAAAAAAAAGTACAAAATTAAAATATATATCTGGCCTAAATAAAAACAAACAAAAAGTAAAAGTAAAGAGAAAAAAGTAAAGAAAATATAATTTAAAAATATGTAAAATAACAGTATGATAATTCTTGGATTTAGTAATGAAAGAATCCCTAAAAGGTTAATATTTGCTATGCCAACTGGTAAAGGTTCAAGGGGTAGACCATAGCAAAGATGGGAAGAGTGTTTTAAGGCTGATCTGGTGTGACTGTGTTTGGACGGTGACCGGTGGAGGGATATGTATAGACAATGATTGGTGGCATCAGTATTGTACTTTTGGGTTATTATTATTTTGTTTATTAATTTTTCTTATTTTTTTAAATATCAGTTCTCAAAAGTCAAATTTTAATATTAAAATAAAAAACCACTCAAAGTTTCGATGTATTGATATTTTTTAAACATCTCTACTTAAAATTCAGAAAAAATTAGTGTTATATGCTATTTGTTCCTCTTGTTCAGATATTGCAGATCTTTATGAGACCCTTGAAAATAGGTGGAGAACCATTTTACCATTAACTGCTTTAAGATTAGGCAGTGCTATTGGAGGCCACAACAATTCTTTATATTTTACTGTTGCTATTTTTATTTACCACTAAATACAAGCACTCATATATGTATGTATATTCAACTTAATTCTATTAATTTTCAAATCTCAAATAATTAAATATTAATTAATGTGAAAAGTTTGACTTAATCTAAAGAAATAGAAGAAATGAAATTATAAAATGATCATTAAACTAATCACCATGCAATCAAACAAATCAAAGAAAATTCACAAATCTCCTTAGTATTTCCAAAAAATATGTAGTGAAGAGGAGGGAAAAGGTAATTTCTCACAGTCTCTAAGCCAGTTCTTTCAAATTAACCTGCTGATCCTTGTACCTTATTTTGATTTGCTTAGCTTGTGAAGATTATAGGCAATATTTTAAAGCGATAATGTCTATAATAGGTGAATGCACCTACTTACTACCTCTTATATGTTTTTTAAATGTACATATGTTTTTTTTTTTTTTTTTTGGGTGATCCTCCCCTTCCTCGCCGTTAAGGCTATACGGGGTTTTCACAGGGCGGGCAGGGATTTAAAAGATGCCTTGGCACCGGGACGCGAACTCATGACTATTTTTGTATCAATTATCATATATCAGGTTCCCGGGCAACGGCGGTGCTGTGCACAACGCATTAGCCCATTCGGCCAAACCGCCCACGTACATATGGTTTATATGTAAACCAGGGATTTCCAACCTCTTGTCCCCGTAAAGGATTCTTATTAAAAGGTTAAAGGTTACATAAAGTAAAAGTTACATGGTAAAATATTAAAACTATTTAAAAAATATAAAATTAAGCAATGCATTCAAACATAAGGTTTCTACAACTGTAAAATATTGGAGGGCCCGGTACATGCTGTATGAGTGGGAGCCCTGTTCTTGATATAAAAAAAAAGAAAATGTTTGATGGAGGAATACTTGTGAATTAATCTAATAGTTTTACATACAGTTTGATGAGGGGCCGGTCTCGCGCCTGTGGTCCGCCTTCTCTCTCTCTTTATTCACCGCTCGTCCAAAGTTTTGGAGCTGGTATAGTTGAAGGGATGTAATTCTTGAAGTTGGCTGAGCAAGCAGGATGTAAGCCATATAGTTCTGTGCTTCTTCCGCTAGCATCTGACACTTAGACGTAGATAAGGCTGTCTTAGAGAGGGGGTAGGGCAAGATGAGACCGGGGAGTCCCCGTGTCATTATTTCAAAGCAAATAATAAATATGTGGTATATAATATCAAATGATATATGATCATATTTAATAATGGTATACAAAAAATATGGATGTAAATCCAACAACAACATTTATCACATGAGTTGTTTCTCTTAGAAAGTTCATTTCACAGTTGGTGTCATTTATTTATCACAAACCCAGGCCCGCGGGACTTAATGGAGACCTCAATATGGCCCGTGGGATCTAGTGGAGGCCTTAATATGGCCTGTGGGACTTAGTGAAGGTCTCAGTGTGGCCCGCCTACCAACAAGTTTGGAGACCCATGGATATATACTATAATAGCAAAATATTATTTTTTCTTAAAGCTAATACATTGTAAACTAAACAAAACCTTTTCAATTTTTAACATCCAACAAAAAGGTTTCATTCTAAAACTTGATAGAAAATAAACATGTTTGTACCCTTGAGATTTTGAGCTAGGTCTTAATCCAAAAGTTAAATCATGTAGATTGGTGAATACCTGGTTAAAGGCAGTATTAGATTTGATGACCATATAAGACCAATATTCTGTAACTCGAGCTTTACTGGAAGTAGGTGGATACATAGGATGTTCAGTACTCTTATTCATAATAACAATAACTTTGTTTTCTTCATTTTTATGATATCGTCGTTTGAACACATAATCACGATTACTAAAGAAAGACTGAAACATCAAATAAAACATCATCACAAGTTATATAAAGATAGGAAACTAATTTATATAAATAAAAGTATTTAGTATTTATCTTGTAATACTGATAACATCAGGAGTGCCTATCTCCCCCAGAGGGCATCTGACCTTCCTCCCTTCCCCCTGAAGAAATTTCATTGGCTCTCCTCTTCGAGAAAGCAGTTTTCAAAATGCAATTTATATACTATGACACTTGGTTTGTTCCATGTTTTCCCTTGTTCTCTGATTTGAAAATCTTCTAAATTTAAACCCCATAAAAATATGGTTCTATCTAAAAATTCAAGATCCTGTAAAAATATGTTCCCTAAAAACATTTGATGGGGCAACTTGCAACATGCCACCCTCTTCTGGATACCTCTGTGTAACATGAAGGATAATGATTAGTAAGTTCTAGAGAGCAGGTTGAATGTTTTCATTTTGATGTGAAAATTTAAAAAATAAGAATACCAATGTTTTTATCATAATCAAATAATGAGGTTTAAAATTATTACAAGAGCTCGAATTTGAAGAAATTTTTCTTTTATCGTATGTTTAAAGAAAACCAGAGTTCTTAACAGATTTTTATTAATAATTAACAGTATTTTTAAAATATAAAAAAATTATAAAATCTTTTTTGATATTTTCTGCAACTTTGTATTAAAATAGGATTTTCTTTTTTGCAATTTCACACAAAAAAAGTTTTTATTTGGGGAGTTTTCAGTGAGTAATATCTAAGAAAACAAAACACTAGCGTTTTGAGTTAGGGAGTCAACTAAAACTCTGATTTATAGAAAGAAAGATCCAATAATAGAACCTTACCTACACCAATCCCCATCCCTAAAATGACAAATTTCCTCTCTCTGCCAGTCACTTATTGTCTTTTATGTAAGTGACCAGTGTTAGTCTAAGGAATTTGGTGTCATCAGGATGTAATCATGCTGCCTGTTTCCCCTCATAAAAAATCAATTTAAAATACTTGTTTTTGAATTATTGAATATTACTTAATATTCAAGTTGTAGTTCATTCAATATTATCTCTAATTAAGTTTTTTTATTAATAAGCTATAATTAATTAATCTCATATTGTTTTGTGATTCCCAAAAATTTAACGACCCGATGATAAGTGCTGGCCTTATTATAAGAATGATTGCTAAGATTGATAGCAGTACTGATTGCTGATTTTCAGAGTGAAAAAACTGCCCTTCACTATTTGGTACTGAACATTTACTGTTGTGTACCGAACAGTACACAATTTTTTTCGTTTTCATATTCATAAATAACTTATCATAAATTTTATGGAAAACAATTTTAACAAAAGAGATATTAACAATTTTAAATATGATTTTAGAATTCAAAAATTATTTGTGTTACAATATCTCAAATTCAGTGAAACTATGAGACAATACATGGTATTTTCGAGAAATGTACCAAATATTCTTCTCTACAACATATAAATGTTCTTGTTATTAAGTAATGTTAATTCTTAAAGTTTTAATATATGTAAACCCTATGGTTTAATGTTCCTACCTACTCATTTTTACAAAGTTTATTTATGTATAACAATATTTTTTATTTTGTAATGTTTATAAATTATAAATATTATTATATTTGCTCCAGTTTTTTAAGAACTTATTTGAGTCTAAAAATTAATTTTCATGATCTATTCCTTGGAACAAATAGATTTTCAGATCCAGGGCCTAATTAATTCATTCATACATTTAAAAATAATATTAAGAGTGAAAAAAAAAAAAATGATGCATTACAGGCCATTTAGTCTCCCAGTAAATGACATCTGAGTTAGACATTGGTTCAGAATCAATAACCTTGATGGCTGCTACATGCTGATCCCATTTAGTTCTATTTTCAGTGTCAAGAAAAACATCTAAAAAATCATCTGCTGTAACATCTGCATATTTACCATAAACTGAAACAAAATAAACAGTTTAAGGGTATGACATAAAAACAAATTAGAAACTACATTTACGCAGTTAATACCTTTATAGCAAAAAAGCCCAGAACCTGGATGATTTGTTTCTTCCATTTTCCAAAGCATCAGATCTTCTTCTTTGATAAAGGGTTCCCAGCAATGTACTGCATAAAATATTTAGAATATTGCATTAAAATTAACTTATTGATTACAAAATAAACAAGGAAATAAATATTAACATGAATTAAAATAAAAAATCAATTGATTAAGCAAATAATGGATAACTTGTAAAAAAAATCTGGTAAGCACAACACACAACTTTCACTTACCGCTCAACTTTGAATATAAATTACTTTCTGGCCATGTTGGCCAGTTGTTATAAAATTTTTGAATTGCATTTTTAACCTTGCTAAAGCTAAAAAATCATAAGTACCATTAAAATAACAAAAGTCCTATTTATTATTTCACCGATTGATTATGGATTGTACGATCTGTTGATCATGGATAGTATGACTATTAGTCTATTAGTTATCGAACTGTTATTTTCCATTGCAAAGTTAACTAAAACAGAATTAAGTAATTTGTATTATCTGTCATAGACAGGTCAAAAGTGGTCACACTAATTGCAAGTGGATACTATTGCAATATCGCAAAAGGAAAAAACTATTCACTAATTTAATTTTCAAAAAGGTTACATGATGATTTTTCGGAATAAACGGACGATATCACAATATCACAAAGGGAAGATTTGTTTTGTTTTTTATTATCAAGTATACCATCATTGGCAGACTCAAATTTACTTTTTAGGGGATGCCTAATTTTCCAATATCACACATTCTTTTTTGCAACTTCTCTCATTTTATACATAATAAAATATAAATTTATTAGCAAAGAAAAAGAAGTCAGTAAATTTGTCCATGTATGATTAAAAACCCTTCAAGCATAAAATGACTCAAATATCTATGAACTGAATTTCATTAGAAAAAAACAATTGTAAAATTTAATTTATCAACACCAGCAATCAATAAAATAGCATTAATAAGAATAAATCCTACCATCAGAGTCTGAATCACATTCTGGACAAGAACAATCTGGCCCAACGCAAACTTTACCATCACCTTCTCCATCTGCAGATTTTTTCCTCAGTGTGTGACATAAGTTCATTTCATCAACATGCCTGAAGCAATATGTTAGCAATTTTATACATGACTAATATTACTAATTTAGATTTTTTTAAAAAATGATATCTCGAACCTTTCCAATTCATCAACAGAAATTCTCTCATGTTCCCAATCAAAGGCCAAAATTGATCCACTGATGATTAGTTGTTTTCCTTTCCGGTTAAAAATCCTTCTCATTTTTTGAAAAAACTGTTTAAGAGAACCTTCATCCCATATTTTTGAATACAAAGTAATCATTTGTTGTCCTCTCCTAATCCTTTGAGCTAGCACAAATTCAATTTGCTCAACACACATTTTAGCTGCTTCTACTGGATTACTTTTAAGAATCTTTTTTAATTGAGATAAACAATTCCATGGTGTCCAAATAGACTTCTTTTTATGTGGTAGTACAACTTTATCAAAACGACGGTGGAATCTAAGACAAATATTGCTAAAAGTTGCATTATGGAAATGATGGATGGAGTCTTTTCTTAGTAAAGTACCCAATGTATTGTTCCTGACATTCGTCCGACAATTGTTTTGAAAAAGTATTCTTGCTACGGCAAAAAATGGAACAATCATATTGATGAGAATACTTAATATAAACAATCCAACTTGCCAATTCCTGAAAAACAATACTCAAACATATCTAAGTCTCTCACATCGTGAACAATTACATCATTCACTGCTTTATCATTACAAATAAATTAATTGTTACACAGTGAATAGCTCTGATATATTATCAGAGAATTTTAATGTTAACAGCCAAACCCATTTCCTCGTGTGTCCGTAGATTTTTATTTATAACAGCTGTAGTGCCAAAGAGACACGACTTATAGTAAATCACATCTCTATACATTCTAGTAAGATTAAAAGTATTAAATCACTCACTATTATAAATGAAATTATCTAACTTCAATTAAGTAGTTCCATAGAATTTATCGATAAAAAAACTTGGAATTATGCTGTTTTGTTTTTATACATCATTACACTTAATTATTGTGACTATGCTGTTAATGTGTAGTGATTCTTACCTTCATAAATAACAACTAGCTCATGAAATGGAAAAAAAGCATTAAGTCTTAAAAAAACCATAGCCTTAAAATCATAATTAAAATCAGTGAATAAAACACCCACACAAATGGAGTTTTATGTTTTTAATAATGTACGTCAAGCGTAAACTATCTGCATACCATTTTACTTTTTTTAATTTTTATTTTACAATTATATTTCCAAATTGATGATTATATTTTTCAAGGACAGAGTATCTTTAATAAGCCCAAAAGGTAATAAAAAGTGCAACACATCAAATATAAAGATTGACATCTATGCACCAATAGCAATATGGTACAATATAATTTCTAATTCATCGACAGAGCTTTAAAAATATGAACCCAAGATTCTTCATGAGTTATGGTTATGTAGGTTTATTCAATTTATTGAAAATAGGCGAGGGATTTATATCTTAGTGTGTTATTACCGATTATCATCAGTTGCGGGGCAAAGCGTGTTTTGCACACGCCTTAGGTTTATCTGGTTCAAATTTTTAGTTGGATCAATAGAAGCTTCAAGTTGGATCTAATGATACTTTCGTCTTATATCATGTTTCTGTTTTTTTATGTAGTTTTTTTTTGTAGAATATATCAATACCTTAATACCCAGTAATCCAAAATTTATTTTGTCAAATTTTGTCATTTCTACATGCCAATTTGATTCCGTGTGAAATTTTGATTTCATTTCATAATGTAACATTTATTACCGTGGAATTAAAGACAACTGGAAGGCCAAAAACATTCACATAAGAATTTTTATGTGACATTAAAACATGTATTTGAAACATTCACAAAACTTTGAAAAATAGACTTGGAACTACTGTCCACCAAGATATATTTTTGTTACATAAGTAATCTTTTTTGCAGAACTGTGTTGATGTATGCCTCACAAGCAGGGGCTACGACAAAAATATATGAAAATTATTTAGTGGTCAGGGATTCCCTTGCATGAGGGATCAGTTAGGAGGAGAGGCAGTAACAAAGAGTTTCTTAATTAAAATTAAAATTTCTAATAATGATCTAGCTGTTGTCGACTTGAAAACTGGAAGGTAGGGTTGACTAGAGCGTGTGATCTAAATGGTAGAAGAGAAATTCATGAAAAGATATTCGAAGAAAGGCTTGACGGCTGGGGTGTCCATCCTCACACCAACACCGATGGCGCGTAAACTTTCCCCTACTGCCAATATATTTTATTCCTTTCTTCTTCTTAAAAACAGTGCAAACGTAAGTAGAATTTAAATATTCGTGGATTATATACAATTACACATCCTACGGCCTGTCACATGCTTCGATTTTTCTTTTAATCTGAAATTTTTCATTTTGAAAATTCATAATCCCGTCGAAACGTGCGCAATCTCAAATTCCAGAGACTTAATTTACTTTATTCCAGAGGATGTCAGAATAGTGAAATAATCATTTCAGAAATAAATTTAGCAGTTATTCCATCGAGATTATTTCAGTGACAGTTTGAAATATTATTTCAGAAATAACCATTATTTCCGAAATAATTCATTCGTGGAATAACCATGTGAATTATTTCAGAAATAAATTATTTCAAGAGTGCCCAGGTCTATTTCAGAGCACTTAATTACTTAAAACAATTATCTAATAACTTTAAAACGACATAAAATTATAAGAAAACAGATAAATGTAAAATAATGTGAGATTTTAGAATGCCTGTAGGATTTTAGAACGCATTCAGAGAAAAAAAAAAATAAAAGAGGCACGGGCGGATTTACTGAGAGGGAGCTTTGGGTCTGAAGCCCTCCCTCTCCCAAAATGGAAAATATAACCATGTTTTATGGACAAAAAAATATAAAAAAATTATGTCTTAAAGTATTTATTATTGTTCGTGTAATTACATTTAAAAGACTTTAGGAATCACTTAAACGCCATTTCATATAGGTAGTTAGTTTCTTCCTTTTTTTCCAAAGTAGCTATCTTTATTTTTATGAAAAAAAAGCTTTTGGGCTGAAGCCCCTCCCCAAATTAATTCCTGGATCCGCTGGTGTTAAGAGAGAATTTTTAAATGCTTTAAATCAAAACACTTTTAGACTTAAATAACTCTAATTATTTAAAAAAAATATCATATCTATAAAAAAACGTTATAATATTCTAAGTAAACAAATAAATTTAAAACAATCTGAAATTTTAGAATGCCTACAGGATTTTATAATAATGTTTTTAGAAAAAAAATTATTAAGCGGATATTTGTTAAATATTTTTATCAATATTTTAAATTTTATTAATTTTCAATCATCAATTTATACTTTAAATAATACAATCAATAACATTTATTCTTATTTCAGAATGTCAACACTGGACATAACCTTGTACCACGCTGTCAGCTTCAGCATTCAGGTCTTCTCACGTGGTGTTCGGATTGGTTGGGTTCGTAGATTGCCTATTTATTTACTGCAATCATGAAGATGAACAAGTTAGTGACCTCTTCTAGGAGGAAAAATCGCAAACGTCATTTCACAGCACCATCTCATATTAGAAGGAAATTGATGTCTTCTCCTCTCTCCAAAGAACTTAGGCAGAAATACAATGTCCGCACCATGCCTGTTAGGAAAGATGATGAAGTTCAAGTTGTTCGAGGACATTATAAAGGACAGCAGGTAGGCAAAGTTATTCAGGTATACAGAAAGAAGTTTGTTATTTATATCGAGAGAATTCAAAGAGAGAAAGCCAATGGTGCCAGTGTGTATGTTGGCATCCACCCTTCCAAAACGGTCATTGTTAAACTAAAAATTGACAAAGACAGGAAAGAAATTTTGGATAGAAGATCCAGAGGAAGAGCTCTAGCCCTTGGAAAAGACAAAGGAAAGTACACCGATGAGAACACAGCAATGGATACATCTTAAAAAGTAACTTCTAATTGTGTACATAAAGCTTTATATTGATGTGAAAATAGTAATTTTTATGTATACTGATAATTCCTTTTTTTAATGAAGTTTTTTTTTTTTGTTCAACCATACTCTTGAAAAGTTCAATTTTAGTATTTTCTATAATTAACTGTTAAATTTTAAAATTTCTTAACTCATGACTGTTCAATTGATTATGATAAACATAAATCATATTCTTTGTATCTAATCTAAATGTTCTTTTTATTATATTCAGTTCACCAAGTTTAAAGTTTTTTTTAAGATGTTGAAATAAATGTTTACTAAGAAATTGTTTTGTTTTTTCCTATTAATATTGTTGTATAGAGCAAAGTATTAACAATTTTTGCTAATGAAATTACTTTATTCTGAAATAACATTGCTTATTGCAAAAAAGTCATCAAATGACTTCATAACCTTAAATCATTAAGAACTTAAGATAAATTTTCCTATTATACAATCAGGAAATTGTGTTCTTGTTGTGACCATATTTAGTGTGTAAAAGGGTTCGCGTTATTTTTGCGCAATTATTGGGTATTTTAATAAAATTAACAAAAAACATTCTTAAAATTTCAATTACATCAAAAATGTATTCAGTAGCTTGCGATAAAGCAATATTTGGTTTTAAATTGATATGTAGTATTTGTAGTTTAGAAGTTTTTGATCCACGATCCACAAAATTAACCTAAATCTGTAGGTTTATTAGTTCGTTATTATTTAAAGATTCTTGGGTATCTTGAAAATAAAGTAGAAGTTAATTTTAAGTATTGTTTTTAATATTGATTTATTCTGTTTTGGAGAAGTAAGTAAAAGCCGCTATAAAATAATGTGGGTTTAAGGGTCAATTAATAATAATTTTGTGATTAATGAGAGCTAGTAATAACTATAATTATTTAATATTCAAGTTGAACTATTTATCATCCAACGATTTTCCATTAAGTTGTAATTCTTAACTATGAATCTGGTACATTATTGAAAAGAAGCTTTCGCTCTTATATAATAAAAATAGAAACATTTATTTAAAATTCTAAATAGCTCACAGCTAATCGATATATGGGTAGTTATACTGAGACATACATTAGATAATTTTGTCAGTTTCGTTATGGGTCTGTACACGAGTGAAGAATGCTTGCAACTAATTTTGATGGTATTGGAATCAGATACTGAGTTTATTATAATACCATTATTGAAATTTGGTATGCTAATACTTACGACTTAAAATTCATTTCTTAACAATTTTATTAACTTAATCATGATTTAAATTGATTAGTTTTTACTTGTTAAATTTGGTGGATGTATAATTATCTAATACTGTTAGATAATGTCTTGTAAGGGTCCCAAATTGGTCAAGTTATCAACTTACATTTCTCCTAATTTTTGCTGTTTATAGGGAATATATTCAAATAAATGTTAATATGGAATAGTTAAATGTCCAAATTTATAACTTAATGAAAATATCATACTGATGGAAGTTCTCTATTATAATTGTTCATTAAAGCTATATTACTATTGAATAACACATTTATAATTCAATGTTGACTCATTTATTAGGTCTGTTCCAACACAATTTGATTATAAGCAGACTGTGATGTTTTTTTGGTTCCCAAGCCTGTACACCGCTTACACCAAGAATGAAAAACATGCAGCTGACAGTTCTCTTGAGAAAGTTAATTAGGATTTCAAGAAATAATATTCTTCTCTTATGTATCTATATAGTTTCTGTAATCTATACATTCTAGAAAGATTCAAATTTGTGGTGAAAAATATCAAGCATGTTCAAGCAATCATCCTAAGAGTAAACAATGTTATAATGAGATTAAGCCTCTTTATTTTTTCAGTGCTGATACCACTTATTTGATGATTTGCACATTATTTGCAGTGGTCTATTTTATCTGGATTAAAGTTATCTAGAAATCATTCAAGGTTACTTTTATAACTTAAACATTGAGTTTTTTTTTTTTTATTGCAAACCAAAATTTTCGCCTAAACATATGGTCTAAACTCAAGGCTAAAATAGATAAGAAAGATGTGAGATATCGACAGCCACACTGCAAAAGCCTGCAAGGACAATTTTTTTGGAAAATGGGGTTTTGAGCTTTTCCGGCCTATCTTGGCATCGCGCTTATTCTGACTTCATAAAATGAAATCTAGGATGTTTTATTTCTTCTCTATTGCCTTTTGTAAAAACCTATAAGTTACTGTGAAGGTTATAGAGATTATGTCTTTATCGAAAAAAACAAAAACAATTATATGCTCAATGAAAAGTAGTTATGGGGAAGCGTTATATAAAGCATTTTGGACTTATTATAGAGTATCAGAATTCTTTATTAGATTGGCTTTTATTCAACCATATAATTATCACCAAGGATTGAGTATTATTCATGAGCGTTTTTATGATAGTATTTTTAAGGTATCTTGTAATCAAGTCAGTTTCAGTATTAGTTGATAAGTTTACTCCTCTATTTTCATATGAAAAGTTAACTATAATTATAAAATGGAAACAAATTATTTCTCTTTTTGTTGTAACTTCAGTGATGACAACTGGAAAGAGTAAATCGGAAATGTAGTTAGCTGATTATGAAGATGTCCAAAGTAAAAGAAGTAGTGAGCCAGTAAGTGGTGTGCAACAGAGAATTGGAGTTGAAGAACAGTAGACTGAATAATCATCGAGAGGTACATAAAAAAACAAGTACATTTTCAAAGCATGAGGATGAGACAGAAGAGAAAATGGGTAGACTTGCCATGGTACTAGGCGAAACAATGAAGAGAGTGGTAGGTGGAATTATAATATTGAAATGAGCCTGGTAGGAAAAAAGCTACAATGCTGCTGCAGTCAAGAAAGTGTAAGAGAAAAAAGTTAATTTCACTTATTGGAAAAAATTAACATAAGAAGGGAAAAGAACTCTAGTTTCGACGCTGGTGGATGTTTTCCAACCAACGAATCGTAGAAAGACCTGAGTAAGCAGAAAGGGTTAAACACTAAAATACCACCTGTATCCAAAACACAGTTTTTAGTCTCATTTGGCATAAAATTAGATTTTGTTGGTTTGTATTAAGAAAACCAAGAAGCTATTGCTGACGATGTAGAGTAGGTATAGTAGGACATCAAAGAAACAATATTTCTGTTTAATTTAGGTATTAAGAGCGGGAAATGAAAGCCGAGAGTACATTGTTTCTTCTGTAATGAGTTGATCATTATTAATCAAAGATGTGATATTTTTAATGTATAAATATAAATTAATCAATATAATATGATATAAATTAATCAAAAAATGTAAAAATTGATTGACTTTACATAACTAATACCTATTTTCTAATGTAGGTAAAAAGCTGTAAGTTAAATGTAAATTACTGTAAGTTAGGAAAATGGCTCTGATTTTGCAGAAATATGACAAAAAACATTACATTATGCAATTCATTTTTGTCTTAAGCCAGCAAAAAAATAAATAAATAAACAGAAAGTATAAAGTTCATAAATTAAAAATTATTCAGGAAGGACATCTCCTATATAATAAAATATGAACAAAGTAAGCTGAGTAACAAGATCCTAAACTGAAGTCTTCAGTTACGATCTTGTTACTCAGCTAACTTATTTTATTGTACTTACTGTTTATAATTTTAATAAGCTTATTCACATTGTTTATAAATTATGTCTAAATATTATGTAACTGCCACAATTCTCTATCTTTTTGTATCTTGTCCGTTCTAGCCCTGATGAAGACCTGCAAAGTCGGGTCGAAACGTCGGCTTTCAATAAAATAGTTTTACCACTATTTAGCCTATTTATGACCGCAACCCCGGAACATCTCCTTCCTTTATGATGCTATGGTCAACTATTAAATATCCAATAAAAATTATTCAGTTTTCTGAAAATTTTTAGATTTTGTTCTTACAGGCTGTTGCAGTGTGGATGTTGATATATTGTAAAAATCTGTGTATAGTAACAATTAAATAAAATTATTATTAATGAATATCAGTTAATTAAAATTTAGCCAGAAGCTAAATATTTTGTCTTTTACTTTTTGACATGAGATTGTTTATCGCCTCACAAAATTTGAAAATCAGAAATAATAAATTATATGTGTGTATATATATATATATATATATATATATATATATATATATATATATATATATATATATATATATATATATATATACATATAATTTGTATATAATAATATGATAATATAATAATAATATAATAATATGTATATATATATATATATATATATATATATATATATATATATATATATATCATATCCTGTTACAGCTAATTTGATCACCTGGAATAAAAAATAAAAAAAAACAGGAAAAGTCAGAGAATTATTTAAAAAGGTTTTGGTAAAGTCCCTGTATATAACAAATAATATAGACATTTTTTGAGGAGTTGACCGCACACCCCCGATCAACTTCTCATAATATATGACGGTCAACCATCTCTACATCATAGAAATTTTTTAATGGTGTAACCACATACAAAAGATAAAAACATGACATTAATCAGGAACAGCATTTATTATTTATTTATCTTTTTTATAAAATAATTAAGCATAACTAGTTATCATTAAAAAGTAACTAATTTTTTTTTTCTAAATAGTAACAATGTCATTATTTTTAAAATGGTTCTTTTCAGAAAAAATGAATACTCTTTTTTTTTTTAACTTAGAGTACTATAAAATTGTATCTCTGCTCAACTGTATTGAAATGCTAAATAACACAGTATATTTAGTGTGTATTAGATATCAGTCTAGTAGATAATTTTTAAGAAAACAACATAAAAAGAATAAAGTTTTACACAACTATTGTCCTGAATTCTAAACGTTCTGATTTATTTATTAATATATATTTTTTCTTCCTTCTGTACCTAGGATTAATAAAGCAATGATCAGAATTAATGCATAATTCCCTGAGGTTTTTTTTTTTTTCTTCATTTCTGTTCTATTAGGAAGTTGTTCTAAAGGTACAACCAAAACTAATCTTACCAAGTTAGGAAGGTCAAGATTCATTTTGTGCGTTTGCCACGAAAGAAGAAAAAATATGGCTAAGTCATTCGAGTTGACAGTGGTGCTAAATAACAGCAATATAAAAAACAAAACAAAAAAAAAAATTCTAAGAAAAGTAGGTTTTATCATAGATTATTTCAAGATTATTAAATATATGTAAAAAAAAAATTAAGGAAATTAATTTAAAAAACAAATAAAATTAGCTGTATTTGCAATCTAAAATATATTTCCAGGGTAACTGACAAAATTAAAAAAAACATTTCAAAAATATAGCCAT